CTGTCGATGATTTCGCCTTGCTCGGGCCGACGAGCCAACAGCTTGGTGGCAGCAACCACAAAATCAACAACTGCCACTTCATCTCACATCCATGTTGTCAGGAGGGGCCATCACTCTTGGGAAGGTGGGGGGTTAGTCAAAGAAAGACCCTCGACAAGCTGGACTGACACCGTAACTGTAGCAATAGGCTTGAGCATGTCAGAGACTGTGAGGACGACGCAGGGCGGGGCAGGCTTCAGGCTCTGGGGTCTCTGTGAGTCGTAGGCAGAGGAGTCGGGGCACTTGGTGGACCTGAACGGACTGCACCTGGACTGGCAGCTTCTTGCCCACTAGGCCACCAGAGCACCTTGAAGAGGACAGGCAGGTAGATGGACACATAAGGACAGGCAGGCAGGTAGGTAGACAGATGCCCAGGCAGCTGTGGCTGAGGGAGCTCCACTGTGGGCGACCGCAGGACGCAGCTTAGCCTCCCCCTGCACCTCCCCCCGCCTTGTCCCTGCGTGTCCAGGTCCACCCTTGGCTGCCATGTGGGCTCACCCAACACACCAGTGCCTTCTGCCGCTGTTCCCTCCCCACCCAGAACAGGCGAGTCTGACACCCCCTGCTTGTGACCTTTTTCATAGACTAGTTTCTGGAAGTTGATCACCAGGCTCTTATTTCTGGTCTGCTTGAATCGGGAAGCCCTCGTCCAAGAACTCGTCTACATGGTCCCCGCAGTGTCGGAGGCATCTGTCCAGCATGGAGGTGGTACACACAGCACTGTGGGATTACAGTGACAACGGGGGGCTGGAGTGGGACATGCAGCTGATCCCTGAACCAGCCTGAGTGTCGGGAATCCACAATGAACTTGCGGCTGACCCTGGCGACACTGGCCTCGTCTGTGGATCTCCCTGGTGGCTGTGCTGAGCCCCAGGGTTGGGCGCACCCCAGTGAAAGGCTGGTGGCTCACATCATCCACACAAGCCATGCTTCCCAAGGACGAGAGAGGACTTGAGCTCGTCCCAGCAGCACCGGGACAACTGGACCCTGGAGGACACGTGGGCTGCACTAAGACCTGGGGGACAGTTGCCACAGGTGAGAACACACACGGTGGTCAGGACCTTGGGTTTGGACTCACTTGTGGCCACTGAATCTGACTGCCAGTAGCCCAGGAGGACAGAGGAGAGCTGGGAATGTTTGGGAAGTAGAAGTCCCGATTGTTCTCCTTCAGAGTGGCTCCTGGATTTGAACCACTGACCCTTTTGGTTAGCAGCCAGATTCTTTAACCAAGGTTCCTAGCTAAACCCCACAGTTAATACTGTGCCCACTTGGGAGATGGGAAAGTTGAGGCCCAGGAAGGTGAAGGGACTTGTGTGACGCCAGACAGCTGGCAGCAAACAGGGGCCGGAAGAGGGCAATAACAAGCCTCATTAGTCCCACTCCCATCAAAGCCCCCAGCAGAGAGCTGGCCTGGACGTAGCATTGGGGTGCTGGGCCTCTGAGGCCACCATGACTGGAGACCCAAGTGGAGTGTTTCTGTGGTCCCCAAGGGCAAAGTGGAAGAACAGGACCAGAAAAGCTAGTGATGGCCCCAGGACGAAGGACACTGGGCTCTGTCCTGGCCGCCATCCTCTCTGGACTCAGAAGAGCTGGCACTGGGCTAGCACCATGGCTGGAGCAGCCTCAGAGGAACCGAAGCAGGGGAGTCAGGAGGTCTGACTGTCAAGGAGTGCCATGAAAAGGTGCTGAGGGCCGTAGTGACCCACAGGCCTCTCTGCCCTAGGACACAAGCTGCGCTCCCACCAGGCCGCCCCTGGACAAAGTGGAGGCGGACCAGAACCCAAGGGCCGGCCTCTCCTTCAAAATGCAGGTCCATCTTGGAGGCAGGAGAGGCCAGTGAGAGGTCAAGAGGTCAGTGCAACTGTGACATCAGGAGAGGGTCTCCAGAAGGGGAGGACTAGTCCTCTGAGGGGACAATATCCACACTCTCCTGGGTCCCATGCATCTCCAACTGCCCCCAGAGCCCCCAAACAGCAACCACGAAGTGGTTTCAAACAATAGGTCCCTGAGAGAGCCCCTGAGGCCAGCCCAGAGTGACCCCACGTGTAAGGGGCCCCTGCCACACCCTGCTCTGCATCTGCCTGGCATGACAGCAGGGATGAGGGGAGGGAAATGAATCACCGCTCCCCGCTGATTCAGTCACTGGGATTGTCCAAGGGGCCAGACGAAGGTCAGCAGCCAAGAGCCTGGCTCACCCCAGCCTGGCGGAGCCACTTCCTGCCAGGAATGACCTCGTTTCACCACAGGGCTCGGGGCAGGGCGGGTGGGGGTGGTCATGAGCCCACTGTGCAGATGAGGAAGATGAGGTGCAGGGGGGTCCCACCTTGAGCAGAGCCAGACACGGAAGCGGGGCAGCTCCTGGCAAAACCACTGGGCCTCGAGGCACGGACAGCAGGGGCCAGTGTTCCGGACCCAGGAAGTCTGTCTTCCAGAGAGGGGGCTGAGCCAGGAGAAGGGTTCAACGTGAAGATGAACAGACGAGCGACTGAAGGGATGAGCGAGCAAACGGGTGAACGAGTGAACGAGCGAGAGTGCAAGTGAAAGGATGAATAAAGAACAATTCCTGACCGAAACCACACAGAACAGGGCGACTGAATAAATAGCTGCGCTAGTGAATAAGGAGTGAGCAAATGGCAAATACTAAACGGAGCAGATGAGGGAGCGGGCGAGTTAATGACCGTGAGGAACAAACCGGGGAACAAGCACAGAGACGGCGAGCGTGCTGACCAAGGGCCACCAAGTAGGCGAAGGGGTGAAGGACAAAGAGGGGCTCTGCACCCCCAACCACGCCAGCCCCTCCGTCAAGGGCCCTGGTCGACCCTCGTGCCCCTGAGCCTGTCTCACTTGTTGCTGCGTGAGGCCCAAGGTGTCCCCACACCTCAGGCAGGTGCATCGGTTTGTCCAGGGAGGTCATCCTATGCTCAGAGGAGAGGAGGGGCCTGAACAATGGGGTCCCTGTGTGTGGAAGCAGGCTGACAGGTGCCCACAGGCCGTGGGGAGGAGGATGGAGAGGGCTTGCAGGGGAGGGCAGGGCTCTGTGACAACAGGAAGCTGCTGCCCCCATGTGCACAGGTCCCCAGGCCACGTGTGGGCCCTGCTGTGACTGCAGGCGTTTCTCTGGCTGGAGTCCATTACCAGGTCTGCCTTCCTCCTCCCTCTCCCTTCCTCTACAGGTGCAGGCCTGTCTATACCCGCTCAGCACATGGTGCCTCCGTGTGCAGATGGGAGGGCTGGTAGGTGGAACTGCTCTGCTCAGGTCAGGCGGAGGGTTCCTGCCCACCAAATGGACTGGAGCCTGCACACGGCCTCCCCCACGTCAAAGTGCGTCTCATCCGGCAGCAAGCAGCAGGGACCCTCTGCAGGCCTGCCCAGCACTCTGCAGCCTAGGCTGCAGGTCTAAAGAGCACTGGCATCCCTGGCTTGCCTGTGGTAGACCAGGGAGCTGTCTCCTCTGCACTCTCAGCCCCACCCCCCACAAGGTCCAGGACTGGGGCCACTCTGTTCCAGGAGACTCAATGTCAGAGTGTCCTGGGGGTGACCCAGGGGCCACCATCTATGATCACCTGTCACTGACCTTGATTCCCACCCCAGTGACCCCGCAGGGCAGAGCTGAACTGCTGTGGGGTTTACAGGGTAGACATGGCCTCACCTTTCCCACAGAGTGGCCGGATTTCTGGTTAAAAGGCAAATGCTCAATTTACTGCACTACCAGAGCCATAGTCCCTGTTAAGGGGCCACTCGCCACCCGGACCAGCTCCAGCTCATGGTGAGGCCCATCAGACGGTTTCCAAGGCAGCGGCCAGTGGAGGATACTGCTGTCTTCCCCCAGTAGTGGCTGTGGGTTTAAACCGCTAACTTTTGGTGGCTGGCAGTAGAGGCTGGAGAAAGCTCAAGTCCCTCGCAAGCTGGAGTCAGGACAAAGCAGTCAAGCCAGGTCTGTTGGTGGCCTTTATTAAGAACATGCAGGGTGGGAGAGTGACAGGGCACACAGCAGATACCACAGAGCCAGCGGAGGGCGGTGGGAGCAGTCAGAGCGATGGGGACGGGGTGTGCGCACATCCTGACACCAGCCCACCTCAGAGAAAGCCCCCTGGAAGGACTGTACCTCAGTGGGAAGAGCATCACCTCAGACGAGGATGGGGACAGGTCCTGGTCGGCAGACGCAAATGTCACCTCACAGAGGCATGTCAGACACAGCCCCACCGGGTGCCCAAGGCCATGGCCTCAACAGAAGCTGACGTGGATCTGAACTGCCAGCAGTGCCGTGAGCAGTCTAATGTTTCATCCACTGCACCACCAGGGCTCCTTCCCTCCACAGATTGTGGCTCTGTCAGGCTGAATGCTAGAAGCTTCTTCTATGGAGTTCTCTGTGCCTAAGCCCCCTTGTGCCCAGCCATCCAACGCCTTTAGTTGAAGGATTCACAGGGGTGCCCTTGCCAATTGATGGAGGAGGGGGGAGGTCTGGTTTCCGGCACTCTCTGGGATCCCTTCGAGAACCCCTCCTTGCCCTCACAGGGCCTGGGGAAGTGGACTCAGGTCCCCTGACCTGGGCGAGGACAGTCTGATGAAACTTTCTGGGAGCAGGGTGCCGCTCAGCTCAGCAGGAGGCCCCACACCCGGGGGGGACACAGCTCCCAGCCCCTTGTGACGGGAAAGAGGAGAGAGCAAGCTCCTGAACGCCACCAGGAGAGAGAAGTTGGGGGGCACCAGAGGTCACAGAGCCACCCAGACAAGCGGAAACAGAGACACAGATGATGGCAGGGCAGAGAGAAGCAGGACCCCACTGCCCGCCCTGGTGGACCTGGCCCATCTCACCTCTCAGTGCACACAGTGACAATTTGATTCCAGAAAGTGAGTTTAGGGGAAGGCACAAGCCCTGTCACTAGAAGGCCAGCACCCCAGACCCCATGGGCCGCCTGCGTGGACGACAGGGAGGGCATGGCCACCGGGGATGGGTGGGGGCTCAGACAGTGAGCGAGATGAAGCTGTTGTAGCGTTGGATGTTCCTCTTGAGGATCTCGGAGCAGGGCCCCAGCACACGCTCGAAGCGCGGCCGGTCCAGCTTCACACACTTGAGGGGCCCTCGGGCCACCACAGTGGCTGCACGGGGCCGGTTCAGCAGCAGCGCAATCTCGCCTGAGGAGAGAAGGGGCTGTCAGCGGCTGAAGTCCTCGGGGCGCACATGAACCTTTTGGGGGGATGGTAGGAGCCATGGAAGAGGAGGCCCCAGATGCTGCCTGGGTCTGATTCACACAGAAACCCTCTTCTCCAGCCAGGCTGACCTCACAGACACCACAGATGGCCCTTAGCTGTGACCCTGGAGGGAGCCCTGAGCAGAGGCGCCACCTGGTCGGGCCACCTACAAGGTCAGCAGTTCAAGCCCACTGGGTCCCCAGCTCTACAGCCTCAGAAGGCGAGGAAGGTTCTAAGGAGTGGGAACCAACTGTAACACAGTAGACTTTGGGGGTCTAGTAAGGAGCTCCAGGGGTGCTGTGTTACATACTGGGCTGAGCTGCTCTGAAGGAGAAGGTAGAGGCGGAAGCTCTAAGGGGGGGGTAGCTGTGGGTCACGGGGTTCTGGCTGGTCTGAAATGGGAGGGAAACAAGCCAGATAAGATGCAGGAATATGACCTGTACAGGAAACCAGCATCGATGGGCCTGCTCCAAGGAGGGTCCCCCACACCTTCAGTTTGTGACAAAGTCTATAAAGTGTGCTAGGGAGCTCTGGTGGTTGAATGGTAAGGAACTGTACCACAATCCCGAAGACACATGGTTCAAATCCGCCAGCCGCTCTGTGGGAGGATGGACAAGCGCCCCCCGTGTGAGTTACGGTCTCTGAAAACCCACTGGAGAGTCAGCTGTGGGTCAGTTCTGCCTCCACGGCAACAGCGACAAGATACAGCTACCAAAGGTACTGCCCCATGGCCAGCTGAGCACTGGGGCCTGGGCACTGCTCAGGACTGTTACAGGGACACACCTCTAGACAGTCACATCCAACACGGACACGTGGCCACATCTACAACACACACACCTGACAAACGTCCTGGCTTTGTCCAGTACCCCAGATGCAGCGTGGCTTTGAGATGCGCCCAGCCTTCTTTCTGGGACTGGGGATTGCGAGGGTGGTGCCCCACCAGCAGGAAGCCGCTGTACCTGCTTATGCCCTGTCTTGGGGGTACCCAGGCCAGGCACAGGGTCGCAACCCAAGTGCTCTGGGGGTGTTAGCCTGTCCCTGTGGCTGCCACCTCAGGGGCCCCAGCAGTGCAGGAGAGGGGATCCCATGGGCATCCACTCACCAAAGTAGTCAGAGGGACCAAGCCGCCCCACCTCCACGTATTCCTCGTTGGGGGATCGACGCTGGAGCACAGATGCGGTGCCCTGTGAAGACAAAGGGGAGATGACTAGCCGGGAGGTGACCAGTGGGTAGATGACCAGTGGGCGGGTGACTGGGGTAACGTATGGCAGGCAAGGCAGAGAGGTTAGTGTGGGTCTTGCCACCCCTCCACTCACCCTCTGGCACCCCCCACTCCTGATGCCCCTCTACCTGCCCTCTGCTACCTCCCTATTCCTATGACCACCTCGGCGCCCCTCTGTGCCCCCTCACGCCTCCTCTGCCCTCACCCTCTGCCAAGCTGCCCGGTCAGCTCTACTTCACACGCGAGAGGCCTGGGGCAGAGGCGGCATGGTCCCCACCCTCACAGAGCAATGTGGACACTGGTTAGATTAGAAAAGCCTGCGCTGGAGACACTAGGGTGCCCCAGACACATCGGTCTCAAGGTCCAAGTGCACACTGCCCAATGTCCTGGTCCCCTAAGGCCTGGCCCTGTGGGGCTGATGACCACAACACAGGGGTCAGGACAGGAGCTGCTCCCATCGGGTGCCACAGCCACTGTGCTGGGGGACACTCTGCTCTCCTCCAAGTTGCTGCTGCTGTGACAGTCTGAAGCAAAAAGCCCCCAGGTGTGGCCACAGGACAGTGGTGCCACGCTGACCCCCCTTGTGCACGTGAAAGCTGACAGCAGGAGGCCTGAGGAAGGGAACTGGCTGGGAGCCGTGGTACAGGAGGACTGAGCTGGCCACGGACGCCAGGGGAACGGACAGAACCTGCAGCCCAGAAGGAAGGATGTGAACACTGTCATGTCCTCTGGATGCACGACCAGGAGGGGCCAGCCCCTGAGGAGGACAGAGTGCTTGGTAAAGTCCACAAGATGGGCTAGCATTGTGGCTGTCACAGCAGACGGAGCAGGGACAGGCTGAGTCCACGCTGCTGTGCACGGTGGGTGTGGGAGGTGAGCGGATGGTGCCAGTGACGGCAGCACTCAGCACGGGTCATGCGCACGTCTTTTGTGCCCACAGTGGCCAGTTATTTTCCTGTCCACTGGGAACGTCTCTTGCTCAGTCCCAGCCCAGCACGTTGCCTTGTGGCGGCTGGAAGCTGTGATGCTGAAAGCTGAACCACTGGTGTTTTAATACCCAGAAGCCAGGCTTCAGGAGGACTTCCAGTCCAAGACCAGGGAGGAAGCCTGGTGATGCCGTAGTTCTGAAAGTCAGCCAGAGAAAACCCTGACCATAGGCCAGAGTCCAACTCCCCTGGACGTGCCATCAGGAGGGTCACCTGGACGGGACACACGTTTGGGGAAGCGGAGGCAGGGGAGGAGCTTGATGAGATTAAATCCACCCCCCACCAGTCCTGTAGTGTTTTCACTGGCTGTGCAGGGCGTCAGTCCCTCGCATCGAGGGTCTCCTTCACCCTTGCTGGCCCTCGCTGACAAGTCATGATGCCCTGTCCTTGGTGACCTGGCTCCACAGCACCCCCCCCCCCCCAGCACATCCAGCTCAATCTCGCTGTCGTCAGTCCTCAGGGGCATTCGGGCTTCAAACTGACTCGATTCACTCCGCGTCCACCACGTAGGAATGGACTCCACGCCACAGAGCGGGGTGTCTGGCCCATGAGAACAGGTGGGCTCCCAGGCGGGGTCGCCTCCCATGTCCGCCGCCACCCACTGACCACTGGCACACCGTGGAAGTGACCCTTCTGTGTCTTTGGGAATGCTGGAAAGCTTTGAAAGCAGCTCGGACATTCTCAGGAGGGCTGGAAGTTTGGAGGTTCAGGCTGGAACACTCGAGAGTATACATCCGAACCCTCACTTACTGATTCAGCCAACTCTCCAAGTTCTGCCACCACAGAAGTCGGCCTGCGGGGCCCGGGAAGGGGGAGGCCTGCGGGGCCAGGGAAGGAGCCGGCCTGCGGGGCCCAGGGCGGACTGAGGCGCCGGCCCTGCCTCATCTTCTCTCCTCTTTCAGCTTCTAGACAACAGTCAAAGTAGGAGCACTGGTGGCACACTGTTCAAAGCACTGGGCTGTTAACCAAAAGGTTGGTGGTTTAAACCCCCATCATCTGTGAGGGAGAAAGTGGAGGTGATCTGCTTCTGTGTGTGAAGATGGACATCCTCAGAAGCCCAATGGGGCAGTTCTGTTCTGCCTTGTTGAGTCGCAGGCATCAGAATCAACTTATGGGACTGAGTTAATAAAATAAAAATTGAATGAAACATTGAAAGGCTGGCTTCTCCTGGAACATCCCGCCTGGTGAATGCATTTCTCAAGGTGAACTGACACAGCCTTGGCAGCTGCACTCCTAGCGCACTGCGAGATGGGAAGCGGGGACATTGCCCCACCGCCCACATGTCCATCCACAGTGGTGCACACCCCCACGGCCTCCCTACACGATGGAGGGCCCATCAGGAGAGAGAGGCAGGCCAAGTGATGGGTTAACAGAGACCAGGACGGAAAATGGCTCCTCGAGTGAAGGCGTCAGCAGACCAGCGTCCTGACCACATAGGACAGACCCTGCCTGACCACACTTCCATGTAACAGTCGTCGGGGGTGTCTCCGAGGGTCCAGTTTCTGCCTGGGGGGATGGACCTTCTGGAGGCAGATGGTGGTGTGGGTCACGGCAGGCGGTGAGGAGCGAGCACTCAGGTGGACAGAGCGACCAGCGTGGGAGCGTCCTGGCAACAACGCTTCAGCTCTCGCCCTGCCCCCCACGTCTGTGCCCCCAACAAGACAGCCTGTCAGCGAGCTCCAGAGCGTGGCGTCTCCAGCATGTGGGACCTACTGCATCCCCTGCTTGTTTGTTTTAGGGTGTCTGGGCCATTTACCCCGTCACATTCCTCAGCTCATACCCTCTACTCACGGCAGCCGTGAGCTGTGAGTATGGATAAATCACACACCCCAGGCCACAAACCACCTCCTAACAATTGCAAGAACACAGTTGGGCCGTGACCGGGCACAGGCTGGTCTTGGTGCCAACCTTTGGTGAATCATCTACCCGGTGTGGCTTCGGCAGAGCATGGCCAGGTAGGCTGTGTGGGAAAGCAGACGTGGACACGAGTCCCATGCTTGCTTCAGACGGGCCTGTCTGCAGCAAGCTGGCCAGCAGCCAGGCCAGACCCCTCCTGCCCGTGTGCCCCGGAGTGGCAAGAAATGTCAGGGAAGGAAAAGCACCAGAGAGCCTATACCCCCTCCTGCCCGTGCCCTGGAGTGGCAAGAAACATTGGAGAAACCACAGAAAACCTGCAGTTTGGGATTCATTCTTTTAGCAAACCTACCTTTGACCTCTACATTCTCCCAAGGCAGGAAGAGTCAGTGACTTGACGTGAGGGAAGGAGGCTATCAGGGGCCTCAGCCTCTGCGCTCCAGCCCCCAACCCCCAGCCGCACAGTGCCCTCTGACTGTGGACGGACAGTCCCTCCCTGCGTTCTTTGGTCTCTCCACAAAACGGGTTTGTAACCCCACCACAGTCCACCCTTCACAAATGGTCTTAGTTAAAACTTGAGGCTGAGTTGAGCAGTATCTGCGCACATCTGTGAAAACATACACAACCCCAAGTTTGAAACACATACAGGCCGACAGCCGAGACACCACAAGTTCAGTTCCCTACCCCGCCACAAAGCAGAGAGCAAGAAAGCAATTGCAGGAATGTTGTTGCTTCTGCTGCCTATGGGAGTCACGACACACTGCACCGGAGTCTCCCAACAACCTCGTCCCAGAGCGGCAGCCTTGGGGCACCAGGAGCAGGGCGCCATGGGACGGAATTGCCTGAGAAGTGATGGCTGGGCTGGTCATCTCTAAAGAGCACAAGAAACATGAAGCAGAGGTTTGAGAAGTTGCCAGAGGCCCTCAACATGACACAGAGAGTAGAAGGGAGCACAGGGTGGAAAACAGCACCCATAGGAGATTTCACTACCCAGCAGGCAGGATCGCCACAAATTTCAATTCATTCAATCGTCAAAACAAATGTCCATCTGCAGAGAACAATAAAGCCAAGTGCCACGAAGCCAGTTGGGCCTGTGCAGATTACGATGTAGCAATTACACCTCAACAGAGTTGCCACAAGATTAACCACAAAAGCAAACACAACCTCCCATAAGCAAGGGCAACCTGGCGTAAAGGCTGCTGCCCACTGTTCACAGAAGCCAAGCAAGGACATAGCCTAACCAGTGACAGGTGTGGGGACACTGTGAGATCTGCCTCCACAGTGGAGCACCACTCAGGTGGCAAACGAAACAGCCATGTGTCCTTCAAGAGGAAACAGACACAGTGGAGTCCATCCACACAACAGTATCTCTCAGCCATGAAGAGACACAACCCAAGTATCCACTCTCAGGTGATGGAGACACACAATGTGGTCCTTTCAGATAGGGATTACCACTCAGGCTAGAAAGCTTATAAATATCTCACACACATCATCATTCTAAACATCACATGGGTGAAGTATGTCAGACACAACACGTCAAATACTACATGAATCTTAGATGAACTCTATTATTTCCGATGAAGTCTCCATTTGCATAGACAAATGCACAGGGGACAGAAAGCCCCCTACAGGTGAAGCAGAGCCAAGCGCAGTTGACGCTTCAGGATTTGTTTGGAGGGATAAATGTCTTGAAATAGAGGCAGTGGCTGCACCAAAACCCAACTGCCCCCCCATACCTTGTGACTGGGGGTGTCCTGTTCTTCAGAGCTGGGGTATACTTTCTCCACTATCCTTCAGGAGGGGACACACTGCTCCATGTCCTCTCAAATAGGAGTACACTGTTGCTATCCCCTTCAAAGTTAAGGTAGCCCTGTCTCCTTCGAAGATGGGGTGTAATGTTCCCAGCCCCAAAGGACACATAGGATTCTCACCTGGTCCTCTGTCACTCCCCATACCCCGTGTCCAGACAATACTATTAATACCCTAAGGACAGCCAAGAGTGGCCAGAGCTGACAAGAGGGGTCAGCAAGGCGACAGGAGCCTCTTGTGGCCAGTAAACTACTCCATTTTTCCTTCCTCTGGCTGGGTCCTAACAGGTAGGCTCGTCACAGTGAGGAGGTTC